ATTATTCTGCAGTGCTCAACCAGTCATGATGCTTCAATCTTCCTGTTATTATTGGTCCCATGATGTAGTACAAACGGGTTTAGCTCACAGTAATACTATCCAAAACATGCAATTAAGAGATGTGATTAGATAGAGCGGTTGGTGATGATTTTCTCACAGAATCATACAAATAAGATATAATCCAGGCAGGAATATTACAGTTCTCTGCACGAAAGAGATTCACATTCCATAGTGCTTCAAAGATGCATCCATTTTACACCTGCAGAAAGCCTACCGGGTCATACGTGCTGTGCTGATTGCTGAGGCATGTCACGCGTGCCCGCCGCTGGGAGGACATTAACACGTGTCATACTCAGTAGACTAGTCATACGTGTCAATGTCATGGTATTTGACCCGAGACTCCGTGCGCCTTTCATTCCAGTCACGGAACAGTGGACACGCATTTCTCCCTCGGGCAGCAACGGGATTGCAGGGAGCGATGCTGATCTGTGTGTCGTTTCATGTCCTTATCCAAGACCCTTTCACAACTGCATCGGCATGTGGGAAATCCTACGAATCAGTGGTTGCCCTTACATTTTAAAAGCACAGTACTAATCCATTTATGGTAACAAGGTAAAAATGTAATTACATTCTTGCTATTTTTTTAACTATGTTCTTTCTGGAAATTACACTGTTAATACTGCATATGCAAAAGAGGAGATTTCATTGCTAATGCTTGCGTAGCAAAAGGGCTAGAAGTGATCAGTCTGGATATTTTATGTGACAGTGACTGTGTGCATGTAGTTTATAAGTGGAATGATTGTTCACAGTTAACAAGCCAGCACCTTACTGTCAACATAAACCTACTTCATTTGAAATGCAGCCCGAACAGTGCACTTGTCATTAATTCAGTGACCATTTGGGGGAACTTACTAAATAGACTGCCAAATAAAATCACAGTTACCTTGTTACCTCAGGATATTGTGTCCAGAACGATAGCCTGAGAACAACGCACTCTGATGAACCCAATACTGATTCTTAACCATGAAATATGAAGGGAAAATGCATTTGCATGCGATTCAGATGTGGGTGTTTGCTGCCATTATTCATTCATCCACTCATTTCTACAAGCATTTCTTTTCTGGCCTTCCCTATGTAGTTGTGCTGCTACCAATACAAGAAGAATCACCACAGTCTTCACCCTTAAAGACCTCAATCTGGTAGTAAAGAGTCCTCATAAACTACACAACAGGTGCAACAGAGACCAGCTCTGGATCCCGCGGGAGCATCCATGTCGGTGCCCGCAGCTCAGCCTGCAGAGGACACGGGGGAGTGGCCAGAAGAGGGAGCAGCAAGGAGAGCCAACGAGCAGGGTGTGTGCGGGCTGAGGCTTCAAGGACAGGACACCACTCCAAGGAGATGAGGGACGTTCTTGTTGGAGTAAATGGCACACAAGTATGAACAGCAGGTCTCCGTCCCCTAGCACAGGGCCCTGGTGCAGAATGAGCCTGCACTGGTTATTAGTTACATCAATGAACTGTTCTGTTCTAGTTGTAGTCATGGAGGGAGAAATGCTCACGAGCTGAACTAGAACAACCATAGAAGCAAAGGAGGACCCGTTTGAGACAGAGATAAGCAAAACCAGGAGGGTTTGGTGATTGTCTAGATGGAGATATGCGGAGCATTCGAAGATCTCTGACTGAGATGAATAGAGGACAGCTATGCCTTTAAAGTAGAAAATGAACGGAATATTTCAAAAGGAATGAAGAGTGAGTCCTTGGTCATGGCACGTTTAGGGGTATTTTTAAGGCAGGTGGATGGACAGCTCTCACAAGCATTGGCCCTGATCAAAGATCTGACCATTAGCATTACAGGTAAAAGGCAAAAAACATAAGCATCGCAAGTGTCTCAGGGAGGTACCGCACTGTGAGCGGGGCTGAGGGCTGCTGACGGGGGGATGTTAACGGAGTGCACACGGGGCTCAGCCAGGTAAGCGCCCCGGACGCGTGCTGCCCGGAACCCTCCCACCAGCCCTGGTGCTCTGCCTGGGCCGTGGAGAGAGAAGCCACACTACCGTTACTCAGGACAGACCGAGAGGACGGAGGAGGAGGCAAAATGGCTAGTGGACTTCATATCCTGTAGCCCACCTACAGTTTATCCACAAGGACAAAAAGTGGAAAGGTAAGAGCCAACATGGCGGGATCTGGGCATGTGGTGTCCGCTGTGAAGTTAGCAGAGAGTCGCTGGGCTTGCAAATAGAAGTGGTTATAATTCCCAGAAGAATTTTCTAAGACCAGCTCCGTGAAACAGTGTGCTATTGGCTATCTGATTAAATGAAACGAAGACTTCCTGTAGGCGTCCTCAGGGGCATGGAACATTTGCTCTCAATCACAAGAGTTGGTAGTGAAAATGTGCTCTGCATGGGGCATGACATGTCACACACTGTCCAGCTATTTGAAAAACATCAAATACATAAATCAGTGTCCAAACAGAACTGTGCAAAACAGGCAGTATATGGACAAGAAATCTGTAGGTAGCCCTGAGACTCCAGCTCTAATTTGTCCCCTAACGTTGCCAAACATTCATAATTCATCAACAATAACACTTAAAGTCAATTAGAAATAGCATTTCAGGGGCTCAGATCAGATAATTTGATAATGTATGCATCTGTACTGTTTGCCAGTGAAATGCCCAATGTTATTTAATAAATAGTTTAGTAAGATTTATCTTCATCAACTCATTTTTCAAGTATTTATTTGCAACAATTTCTGTAATTTCAAATCTGCATTATGTACAGAATGGTAATTTAAAATTTTCGTATAGAATTTTTGTCCAATAAAGAATATATATTTGAGAATGAAGAAATGCTGACTCATTTAACCATTAGAAACATTGTTTATTATTCACTAAGTGCTACAGTGCTATTTACAAAAATAAAGTGGACTGTGGAGATACAAAGATGAACATGACATGGTCCCTACTGTCTTGTTTATGATATTGGAAAAACAGTGCAAAAAAATTAATACACATAAAAAACTAAAATGGAGCAAATAATTATGGGAAATTGAAGGTCATCTAGAGGGAGCCAGAGGAAAAATGAAAAAATGTTTTAAATGATAAGCAATCAAATACTAAAAGGATTGAGAGGGCTGGTGGAATTTATTCTACCTTCGCAAGTCACACTGTGGGGGCTATTTGTTAACTGTGTCCCCAAAAGACCCCCAGGACAGGCCATTCTCAGCCATGGTTTTGGGTGGAGTTGCAGTAGGTTTAAGGATCACCTATACCCGTAACGACTGGTTCAGGAAAGAAGACATGGTGAAGAGAAGGCTGTTAAGACTTGTGGGGGCTTCTTCATGTCCAGGAGCACCCTAACGAGACCCTCTTCTCAGCTAGACAAGGACAAGAAAGGATGGAGCCCTGGGAGCTGTTTGCAGCCATCTTGCACCTCTCTGCCTGCCGGGAGGGGACTCAGCACTGAAGGGGCATGGCTGAAACATGCAGGGATGAGCCCAGGTCTACCATGAGCTCTGAATCAAATCATGCTTCATGGTTATGAGAGCAAATTCCTTTTATTATATAGAGATTAAGTTGCATGATCTACATCCTGCAACATAGAGAGGCCTAACCTATTTAAAAATTAATAAAAATGAAACCTACTGGGTTTGCAATTCTCTGAGCTCCTTTCCTTCCCTCAAAATAACAAGCATGTTTAATATCAACATAAGCACCTGAAATGATGGGAAGGATTATGAAATATATCTAATAACATGTTGCGTGCAGAAATGCGGCACAAAGCAACTTTTTTTAGAGCAAACCTAGGTGCAGAATTTTGTAAATAAAGTGGACTTAATCCGCATTCTAAAGGGGAATGTTGTGTCCCTTTCCAAACGTTTTTGCGTTCTGTGAGTGCAGACAATCTGAAAAGAAACCAACACACCCAGAGTAAGGTAAGGGTCAAGCCCAGAGGAGGCTTTTTAAAACAAGAGACAATGAATGAAAGTTACTTGATGTGAAATGACACCGGCTCTAAAGTATGGAAGGTCAAATGAAAACTGAAGGGGGCAGATAATCTATTCAATGTCTAGATGATACTATAATTATCACGTTAGGAAACTGTACCACAATACTTTATCAACTCTTAAGTGTGCAGATTGTCAGCTTTGATTATATTTTTAAGACATCTGTCTGTAAGAATGCATACACAGGTAACATGTGAATAGAATGAAGCAGCTTTCTCAGCCTAAACGCCCAAAGGTCTTAACCAAACAGGATCATTTTTAACCGTGGGAATGAAGGAGATAGGGAAAGGTTCTGGTTAATTTAGTGGCCTGCCTTACCAAGTAATCTGAATACTATTTTTACCTTTTTAAAAAGTTGTTTTTAAATTTTGAAATAATATAAGTTACAAAGGTAATAGAGCACTGGCCTTCACCTGGCTTCCCCCGGTGGCTCCATCTTATATTCTTGTAGCACAATATCAAAACCAGGAATTTGACACTGGAACAAGGTGTATGTAGTTCTACATCTTATCGCATGTATGTGTGTAACCATGACGACTGGAATACAGACCTACGGTATTATCACAGAGATCTCTCTCCCCAGCCTCTGCATTCACACCCACCCCATCACCCGCCGAAACAAGTTTCACGTGGCAATACTGACTCTTCTTAGACAAGGCGCCTATTTGGTCCCCAGCCTTGAATTAAAGTCATGACCCATTAATAGTCTTCCTCCTCAACTTTAAAAACAATGCAATAAAGTTCAATTTCCAAACTTATTTCCTTTATTCGAGAACTTCGTTTGGTGCGCGCGCACACACACACACACACACACACACACGCACGCCTGATGCACGGGGAATCCCCGTCTCCAATCACTCTTCCGGTGTAGATTCCCCCTGAGGTCCCTCCTTAGCCTTCCAGGTTTTAGACCCTTTTTACAACAGCCAGCAGTCTTCATATCCCGATAATTAATTTATCATCCCAACACAGGCAACAGGTTTGCAAAGTAAGTTCCCAATGTACTCATTCCCTACGGGAGTCACGCTGGACGGTAGGGTCGTTTCAGTCAGCACCTACGACGAGAGCCCAGACGGGCTCACAGGGTCGTGCGGTCAGTTCGGACACCGGGAAGACGGGCGGAGGGGGTCTGCGGGCCCAGGGGCCTGGCGAGGCGGCCGCGCTGCTCGCTGCGCTCTGGCCCCGGAGGGGATCCCGGCCGCTGGGGGCCCTTCGGACACGACGGCGAGAACTGCGTTTCGCGCAGCCTGGGAGCACAGCGAGCGGCCTGCCCATGGCTGGTTCTGCGGACGGATCCCAGAGCCCAACAGTCACCTTTCACTTGGAAAAAAATGGGCTACTGAGAACGCGGGCCCGCAGACCAGGAGCCGCACGTTGTCCGCGGCCCCGCGTCGGCTGCGCAGAGAACTCACTTCGCGGCCGCGCGTGGGCGCAAGAGGCTCGGCCCGCCGGTTCGCCTCTGGCCCCGCCCCTGGCCCCGCCCACCACGGACCCCACCGTCTCCTTCCCGCCCACCATCCTGGCCCCGCCCCGCCGCCGCCTCCCGCGGCGGCCAGGCGGACTCCCGCGCGCATGGGCGCCGCGCTCCGGAGGGCGCCCGCCGCGGCCCAGCCCCCGAAGCCTGTCAGGGAGGCAGCGCGGCTCCGACAGCAGCCCGGCGTGACCCTCGGCTCCGCCGCTGAGGGAGGCCGCCCGCAGGACGGGCCGGACGCGGAGGAAGGGCTTCCGGCGAGCGGGGGGCTCACGACCGCGGAGCGGAGGGTCGCGGAGCTGCACGCGGCCGCCTGCGCGGTGAGGCCCCTCCGCCCGGCCCGGCGCGCGCGCCCGCCTCGGGCCTGGCCCTGAGCCCGCCGCGGCTTCCTGTTCCGGCAGAGCGGCGCGTCCGTGCCGGGAGCGCGGGCCGAGGCCCGCGTGTGCATCTGCGTCGGGGCCGCCTCACGTGCGCGCGGCGGGCGGGCGCGCGTGCGCGGTGCGTGGGTTGGGGCGGCGTGTCGGGACTTGGTAGGGGTCTGGGGAGTCCGAACAGTAGGTGTGTGTGTATGTGTGTTACCAAACGCTTTGCCATCCACCGATTTTAATGAAAAATAAAACAAACTTATTTTTAATCTATTTTAATTCTGGCTACCGCGTTTTCAGCCTTTTCCTCCGCCCTGACAAAGCACAATTGCAAAGGAAACTAGCGTCAGGCGTTTGTTTACTTTCTTCCTGGGCAACCTTGAGCTGTGCTTTCTTCTGTTTGTGGGTCTGACAGCTGCTTGTGAGTCCCGAAGCCAAACCTTGTCATCTCCCCTCCCAGTTTCTAACACCTCGGACTAAGCGAGTTTAAAGGTAGCATATTTATATTTTTGTTGTATTGAGAAAGCAAGTGAATTCTGTAGTAAAGACACAAAAACGGTGTGCAGGTGCCGTAGCTGGCACCTGTGCGAGCAGTACGTGTCAGAGGCGCCGCCGCGTGCCGCCCGAGCCGAGCGGGTACAGAGCTCCGTGGGGGCTTTGATCGTTCTTGTGTATACCCTTAAAAGTCACTTGTGAAGTTTGTTCGCCATTATATTTTATTTTCATTGTGTTTTCATTGCTGGATCGAACACCAGCAGCGTGTGAAGACGGGTTCAATCAACCTGGGAAAGGAAAGAAACTTTTTCTCCCAAGCGGGAATCTGCACTTGATTCATCCGGGTCTGGATCATAGGTTAAATGCCTGTCCCAGACCCTAAGTAAACCCAGTAACAAGTTTCTTGTTTTCTCTTTTCTAACAAATCAGAGCCCCTCACAGCGGCCGCTCTCTGGCCTTTTCCCACGCTGATCCTGTCACTGGGCAGCTGGTTCTCCACGCAGACTGTCAGCACTCGTGCCACATCTTTGTCGGTCGCCACCGTTGCCTGGGGCTCATTTACTGAGGACGAATTAAGTCTGGGCACCAGTGAGCTCAGAGTTCCTCCATGGACCCGAGAGGCAGGACAGGCAGGGGGCCCGGAGTGGGCTGCTAGGCTCCCGGGGCCGGAGCATCGCCCTCGAAGAGGGAAGAGACGGCTGCTCAGAGCTCCCAGCCTTTGGTTTGGTTTTCTTTCTTCCAGGTCTTCAAATATGGGCTTTGTAAGTAAAGAAGCGAGGCCTTGACGACCGGTCATTCTGAGGCGGTGCTTCTGGTTTCGTGCGGTCGCCTCTGTGCTCCGCGACGGCTTGGGAGGCCCCTCAGGGGGCCCTGCCCGCAGGGCTGCTGCTGCCCGGGCTAGCTTTGCTGGGCGCCTTGGGGCAGAGCCACACTTGAACTAGTTTGTCCTTTCGCTCCACGCTTTACTCATGAAACATAGTTGGTTAAAACCTCAACCAGAATAAAATATTCATCCATTAAGGAAGACACTCTGAACACGTAGTTTGTGGCACATGCAAAACTTTATGATAGAAGACATTCAAGTTTCATGCATATTTTAGTGAAACGGCCCTACACAAAGGCGATGCAGATGACTGCATGGTAAAAAGCTTGTATATAAAGCCCAGGAGAAAGTTCCTCTACGAAATATCAAGGCTAAATAATGTTGTTCACATGGCCCAAATCCACAGAAAAGGTTGTGTTACCTATTTAACCCAACGTAGTGGGATACTTTTGTAAAACCAGGCTCGAATGGAGAGTGTGCTTCCTTGACATCTGCACTGGTGAAGCAAAAGTTGCTTTTTATCAAATTTGTGAAAGCAGTGGGTATTAATATGTCAAAACAGTACTTTTTCACTTAAAAACAACAATCCAAAAAAAAAAAAGAAAATAGTGTAAAATGTGCGACATCATAAAGGTAAAGAAAAGTGTTCAGTAATAGCAAAAATAAGGCTTTTCTATAAGGACTGCTGGTTTTGATTAGCACCTTCTGTATGTTTAAATCATTATCCACATATTTTAAGTAGTGAAATTGCAACTGCAACTTCTGAGTGAAAGTTCATTTTCAGCCTCTTAAGCTCTTAAAGTAATCTAAATCACTTGTTTTAAACTTGTTACCTAGACACTGAGTGAAAAATACCTGAGCAGTGGCTACATAGTTACAGGGTATAGAGGAGTTCTTGTTTTTCCATCAACTTCTCATTTTTCTCAAATGGTGTACTTTCTGCTTATGTCACATAAAGTTGGACTGTGTATAATGTTGGAATACATTCAGTCTTTAATTGCAAGTGCCACCAAAATTGCCTGGGAAGAAGTTAAATACTATTTAAGGAAAATTTTGCAATATTTTATGAGTAGAAGTTGTGGTGAGGAGATATGATGAAGACTGAGATTAAGGAATTGTTTCATTTCATTATTCTTCAGGCTGGCCAGCTGACCTACGTGGATCCGGCCACTGGGCACGTGGTGCTCACAAAGCTCGCCCACTTGGAGAGAGGCGGATGTTGTGGCTCTGCCTGCAGACATGTGAGTGGCAAATTCTCTCATTGCGGTAGTAGTTCTGCTTCTGTGACTTCATAAATACCTATTAGTTGAAAAACAAGTCAAATAAAAAACTAAGTAGACCTGGAGTACATTTTTCACAAGCTACTTTAGTCAAGGACAATGAAGTCCTTAGGACCAACATAGGACCTTTAAAGTTCACAGAATTTTGTAACATTTCACTGTGAGCATCAATTTTTTGAAATGCTGTGATTTGAAAATGATGACAGTTCTTTGATATAAGGAAACTTTTCATGAGTTTTCAAATAAGTTGTGTTTACTAGGCAAACACAAAGAAGTCAGGAAAAGAAATCCAAAATATTGCAAATTAGATCCTGGAATAAATTTTTTCTTTATTATTAGCTGAGTATTTTTCCAGTAATGAGAAGTAGGTTTCATTTAAATGATAATTTTCTTTCTTTATTCCTTCCCTCCTTCCCTCCTTTTCTCCTCCTCCTTTCTCTCTTTTCCTGTCTCTCATTCTTTCTCTGGTTGTTTCTTCTCTGCCTTTAAAATAACCATGAAACTAGCACCCCAAACTTAGTGCTGTGTATCACCTAAAATGTATATTTCAGTGACTATATTTCTCTATATTCACTGATTAAGATGAACTAACTAATCCTTCCCTATTTTGAGGAAAAAAAAGATATGGGATGGGTTATTCACTATACCTTTTTAATGGCGCACTAGTTGGATAAACTGTTGCAGAGTTAGGATTATAAACAGATAACAACCTCTGTTTTCAGACCACTTTGATTATATGTTTTGGAGCAAGAAGGTTTTATTTTCTTAAGTGACCCACTTTGTAATTAAGGAATGGGCAGTAAGTGCATACATTAACTGTGGCCAGTATTGAGGAATTAAGTCTTCACCTTGTGTCTCTTCCTACCTGCCGCACACCAGGTCAGTGCGGAAGAGCTTACATAACTGAGGGAGTGGGGATCTCCTGAGACTGAGTTTTTGACAGTGAAATTCTTCATTCTATTTACATCATCATTGGAAGATAGAAAGTTGGAAGGATGCATTTAAGAATTCTTGACCCCTAATTAGGACCATTTGCCAGAAGTTGCCATTATCCTCATCTTAGTCTGCAGGACCTGATAGATCAAATGATCTGTATTACAGATCATTGACAGTCTCTTTTTTTCACAAGGAGAAGTGTACTTTTTAAAGATGATTGTCATACAATTCAATAATAATTTGCTCTGTTTCTTTTGCAGTGTCCATATGGTCAAGTGAATGTTAAAGATCCATCTAAAAAGAAACGATTCAATTCATATTTTTATGTTTGACCACAATTTCATCTCTGTTTCACCATCTAGCTGAGACTTTATTTAAAAAAATGAAATAAAACCCTAATCCAGAATGCTCTGTGGGGTGCTAGTCCTTGAGCACTAGTTTAATCTTAAGTACATATATTAACATCAATAAAATGAAAAAGCAAGCAAATGTTTGTGTGTTTCTGAAGTGGCACATTGATAGCTATTTTCCTTTCTTTTTGCTTCATTACCACACACATATGTTGAAGAAAGAAAATAATGACTGTTCCATTAAATAAATAGTAGCGATCAGGTCACATTAGTAATTCTTGATTTTTCACATAACCTCAGTTCTCCTGTTTTCTCCTCAGTGTTAGCAACCCGAGGGAGGTTGCTGGCAAATAGGCTACGAATACATCCTTCATTTTATTTTTATCTTCAGCTGTGAGGAGACTGATATAATGCTAAACTGTGCAGCATATGAGTGCCCAGGAAGTGCCATCCTGCGTCAAGAAATGCTCTCATCTTCCATCTGTTCTCTCAATAAAAACTTTAAATCATTCTGACATGGGGTCAGGCCGCTTACGACGCTTTTCTCTCCCACACTTACCTCCTCCATTTCTTGTGGCAAAGCCCAGCCGATCCATCCCTAGAGCATTCTGGGTAGCTGTGCATCTGTGCCCCACGCTGCAGCCTCATGGAAGCCCCGTGGGCATCAGTCTCCGGCCTGGGGCAGTAGTTCCTCACAGGGGCCATTGTCTGCACGCCTTCCTCCCTCTCCTCTGAGGCTGCTGTGGCCCAGGAGACCTTGCCCTTCCCAGTGGAAGCTGTTCAGTGAAATGAGGCTGCTGCCTGCTTGCAAGGCTGGCTCTGCTCGGACCTGACCGTCAGCCTTTCTCCCTGCAGAACCTAAAAGGCTCCCAAACATCTCGGGGGGGCTGTGTGAGTCTCTGCCAGTGTGGCCTGGAGTTTCAGAGATCTTAATTCTCCCACATTCAACTCAATGTAAATGCACTTCTAAGCTGCAAAATAAGTGAAAAAGAAGCCCAGTTAAGAGTCTGGTTTTCCCCTTGATTGTGACCTACATTCTTTGTATGTCAAATATTAAAGTGTTACCCAGGTTGTTGGCATTTTTTTGGTGCCCTGGTTTGGTTGGCACTTTGTGATGCCCATGTGCCCAACCTCCGAGGATGTAAAAAGCAGTCCTGTGGCCGGCTGGTGGTCCTCTCCAGGAATCACTCTGAGAGGGGAATCAGAAGGGGGTCAGCGTTGTGCTTGTGGAGGCAGTTAGTCTGTCCAGGAAGGCTGACGGGCTCCTGGAGCCGATTTCCTTTCCATTCTCAGCTCAAGGAGCAACCGGCTAGCTGCCTGTCTCCCACTAGCTTTGGAGATTACCAAGGCCGTTTTCTGGGTTGGGGCCTCAGCAGTCTACAGCGGGAGGAGAGAGAAATGGAGCCTTCCAAGTCCATCTTTCTGGAGGAACAAGAGAAAGAGGAAAAGAAACTCATTTCACAAAGGGGCCCAGATGTGAGGCAGGGTTTTGAGAAAGCCCTTTGGCAGGCGGAAATAACACGGGATGCCTCCTGCCTGGAAGCAGCTCTTTCTTCCTTCCAGTGCAGGTCTCGAAGTAGGAACTGGCCCCCAAAAGGGCCCCATGTCCATCACGGAGGACCCCCGTGTGAGGCTCACCCCGGCAGAACTTCAGGCCTTGCTGGTAACAGCAAAGGAGCCTCTGGCGGGGAGGGCGGGGCTCGTAGTCTTCCTGCGTCGGGGGCAGGCAGCCAAGGTCTGAGGTTCGCTGTGGTTCTGGGGAGATGCTGGTGAGCCACACGTCAAGGGTACCAGCGGGCGGGTGCTCCCACATTAAACACAATATGGCCACATAAATGGGGCTCGCTGCGGGAGTTTCAAACTATATTGTATTCGCACATTGTAAAGTAAAAATCCAGGTTTCTTAGCGGGTGTGTGTATACAAACACGTGGATGCCAAGAAATCGAGACCTCCCCGTTTAAATGAACCCCGATGCTGCTCCACTTCACGGTTTCTAGGGACTCCCACCACAAGGCATCATAAATCAGGGGAGGCTGGTTTCTACATCGTCGTGGAAGGACCCACGGAAGCTGGGGAGCCCTGTGGGGTGGAGGGGGTGGAGAAGGTACTGCCCCTGCAGGTGGGCCTTCCCCAGGGGCAGGGCCCTGCCCGCCAGTCCTCGCAGCAGGTGGGTCACCGCGCACACTCCCGACTGCAGAAGCCACGCTGGCCCTAGGATTTTGGGAGCAACGAAGGGAAGAGCTTTTATTTTCCCCCCTGTGAAACTTGGGGCTCCCGAACCGGGTGTGTTTGGACAGCGGGGACCACGCGAAGGGGACTGGTCCCTGGCGGGGCGCCTGCGCTTAGCCGATCCGCCTGCTCCACCACCGGAGACCAACGGGGCGCAGCTCGTTTCCAAAGGTTGGGCAAGGGGGCCGGCTACCCGGCAACCGGCCCCTGGCCGTCGTGTGGGCACGTGGAGACCTCCCAGTCCCGGGGTAGCTCGGAAGGAGCATCGTCCTCCGGGCCAACACTGGCAGTTCAATCGTCTCTACACCGGGGCACAGGCGTGGACGGTGGACAGACGTCTGTCCTGGAAGGAGGGTTCACAAATCGGGGCTGTTTTTCACTCTCCTGCAACAAACAATTAAAAGGCATTTCTGGGGGTGTCAAAGCTATCCCCTCCCCGCAGGAAAAAGTTAGAAGGATGCCCGAGCATGTGTGAGAGTGCGTGCCGGGTGGGCGGCGCCCCACGGGGAGCCCCGCAGAGCCCGGCCCCAGGCGCGGGTCCGGGAGGCGCGCGCCGTCCTCAGGGTCTCCGCTGCTGTTCGTCTCGCCGGTGCGTCCCCGCCCCACAAACGGGTTCAAGTTTGGGCTCATGGCTCCCCTTTCTGAGACTATGGGTCACAGAGGGTAAACCCGAGAATCCTGGCTCCGGAGGGATGGGGACTCGTGACGGCCGCATCTTCCCACCCGAAATCTGTGCTTGAAGTGCGAGCTTCGGTGTGCGCCTCAGGGAGGGAGCGCGCGCGCGTGTGCGCGTGCGTGTGCTTGTGTGTGTGCGTGTGTGTGTGTGTGTGCGCGTGTGCAGAATGTATGTGTTAATCAAATACCTAAAATGGTTCATGAGCCCGAAGAGGATGGAACCCGCCGCCTCGGACGGGGCAGAGTGGAGTCGCGAAGCTCTTTGGGGTGGTGTCGCCGCCCGTCCCCCGACGGCCTCGCTAGGAGCCCCGACGCCGCCCCCGAGGCTTGACCCCCGCGACCGGCTGAGAAAACGACCGAAATGGGGCTTGGGGGGTCTCGCAGCTAGAGGCGGGGTGAGAACGGACACCGGAATGAGGCGAACTTAGAAGGTGACCTCGCGGGCCGCGGGGCTGGTGGCAACCGCAGTGAAGACCGTGTCCGGGGGAAGGAGCGCTCCGGCCCCGTGCCCGAGCCCCGGTGCAGACCTGGGATGGAGGGGGGGACTCAGAGCGCGCGCCCTCGGGGCCCGCGCCGGACCTCCTCCCGGAGCTCGGCCGCCGCAGCCGGGGCGCCGCGGGGCGGGGCTGTGCGGGGAAACGGCCCGCGCCACGCGTCCCAGCCCCTCCTCCGCCTCCCCGCCGCCCCTGGGAGCCTGAGACCGGGCGGCTGCGCCGGCGCTCGTCGCCCCGGGTTGGGTGAGTCGCATCCCCACCTTCCAGCCGGACCCGGCGGAGGGGCCGCCCCGGGCGCAGGGCACGTCCCCGGGCGCCGGAGGCAGGCGCGCTGCCGGAAGGGGAGGGGGCGGGGGCGGCTCGGATCCCTCCCCGCGGGGCCGCCGCCGGCCGTCTATGCGGCCCCAGCTGGCGCGGCGTCCCTGAGGCTCGGGCTCCTGGGGGGCGAAGGCGGCGGGGACCGGGAGGCCGGGAGGCCGGGGCCCAGCGGCCTCGGGACACCCTGGGCTTTATGAGGCCGCGCGACGCCCAGGCCCCCATTAACACCTCCCCGCCTGTTGGGAGGCCGGGAGGGCGGGCGCGGCCCGGAGCGTGTCCCCGGCACCGGCCCGCGCCCGTGCCCTCTGCCCGCCCCCGCCTCCCCCTCCAGTTTGGAAGCGTAAACAGAAAATAAAAGGCAGGTGGAGGGGCCTGCGGGTCAGAGGTGAGGGATTCGGGTCAATTCCGACAGACCCAGGGGGAGACTGCCTTCCATCCATCGCTTTATTTACTTGGATTAACAGCGGAACCGTCTGCGGGCCGCCGCCTCCCGCCCTCGCCCGCCCAGGGCCGGGTTCTGGGGGGAACTGCACCCCAAGGCAGGACCCCAACGGCTGTCTGTGGGAGGCACGCGCGCCGAGGAGCTGGCGAGGCAGGCCGGCCCCACCGGAGCGCTCGGCACCTGGGCGCGCGGCGCGCCTGGCCGTTGGCGCGCGTCTGGGGCGCGCGGGGGAGTCCCGCCCGGCCCCGCTGCTGACTGCGGCTCTTCCGCGCCCTGCAGCGTCCGCCGTGCTGCGCCCCGCCCGCGCTCACGGGATGCTGGCCGGCACCCCTCTGGAGGCAGGTGAGTGGCACGCCTGCTGCCCTCCCGTGTCCGCGGCCCTCCGCCGTGGGCCGGAGCGCACGCGTGGGAGTGCGAGTCTGCACGTGCGTGTGCGCGCTTTCGTTGGGTGGCAGGCGGAGGGATGCACGTTGGTCTCGGAAATTGAGTCGCGCCCCGCAGGCGCTAACGCACGGCCTCTCCGGGAACGCCTCGGGCGGGGCGCGGGGCCGGAGGTCACGGGGCGCGGGGCCCAGCCGCCAGAGGGCCGCGGGGAGACGCGGCTTCTGACCTGCGGAGGGCTGGGCTGCAAGCTGGCTTCTCCCGCATTGCCCTGCTCAGTCCCACCCTCGCGGCCGTCAGGTGCAGGGCTTCGGGTTCAGAAGCGCGCCTCCCCGTCAGGCCTAGGGCCCCCGGGGCCCCAGGTGTGGAGGGAGGGCCCGGGCGGGGCGGCGGCGGCCCGCAGAGGTGCGCCCGGGGACGCGGGGCGCGGGCCCCTCCATCTGTTCTGGCGCGCGGCTCTATGGAAGATACAGGGTGACAGGGACAGAGCGCAGCGGACTGGTGGCTCAGCCTGGCCCTGCCCGCCTCGGTGGTGGTAGACCGAGGCTCCCTAACCCACTGGTGGTCACCGGCCTGGGGCCACCCGCTCACC